GGAGGAGGAGGAGGAGGGAGGAAGTCCCCACCTGGTTCAAAGCAGCTGTCAGCGCTGCTCTTCTCATTCTCTGGGCCATCCTCTCGCTGACGAGGGAGGTCAGGATGAGCTGAGAGGCGGCAGCGACCCCCTCTATGAGGTAGAGGGCGACCAAGACCTGCAGAAAATGACATGAGAAGGAAGGAGAAGGAGAAAAGGTGACAAGGTGGGAGGAGGAGGAGGAGAAGGAGCAAGAGAGAGTAGCTAAGGTAAAAGAGTGTGAGAGTCTACCGCGAGGTACTGGGCCAAAGCCGAAGGGCCTTCAGGCACAGCGCAGTCGTCGACCACCATCCCCGCATAGACGAACTGAACGATCTCAATCGGAGCGCCGATGAAGCAGCAGGCGAGGGCCGCCATGGCCAGCCACTTGTCGTCAGCCAGCAGGTCCAGCACCCTTCTCAGCACCCTCCTCGACTCTGAGCTGCCGGGCGCCATGTTCCTTGTCATGGGACGAGAGGATCTGGCAAGAAGTCAGGAGGAGAGGAGGAGGAGGGAGACGCTGGCTCACTGCTTTGCATCCTCGTTTGCGTCGAGGGCTGTATCCTCCTCGTCCACCGAGATGTCAGAGATGTCGAACGCCAAGGAGGCGTAGTCTCGCGACTCGCGCAGGAGCAGAGCCATGGCGGCCATAGCGGCGTAGAGGAGGTAGTGCATCAAGAACGGGATGAGCTCGTGCGAACCTGGAGGACAAACAAACGATCAGGTCCGGGATGAGGAGGGAAGCAGGATCAAGCCATGAGAAGGATGGAGAAGCGAGAGAGGTGATCCGAGGGAAAGAGGAGGAAGCAAGGACTTGATCAGCAAGTTATACCCATGAACTTCCCATCCATCATGTTGCTCCATAGCAGGACAGTTGCGATCAGGAATGATGAAATCCAGAATCCCTGCAACAGCATGAGCAACAAAATAGCTGTCCTATCCGCGACATCGTCAAGACATGCAACATCACCTCAATGAGATCTTCGATCATCATCATCAACAACAACAACATCATAAACAACAACAACAACACCATCATCAACGAGCTTCAATTCTAACCTTGCAAACCCAGTTGGTCGGCCAAGCATATCTTGCTTCGAGGAGCAGCACAACGACACAAAGAGACCAAGTGAGACAGGAAGCAGGGTACATGATCCACTGATACGGTGACCCGTAGTCGTAAGCTAGATGAACCTGCCGACATGTAAGGGATAGAGGGAGAAGAGGACGAGGAAGAGGAAGAGGATGCGGAAGAGGAAAACAGGGAGAGCACGAGGAAGAGAGAGCGAGAAACAGGAAGAGGAAGAGGATGAGCTGCGACTTACAGCGAACATGATGAGGTTGTACATGGCAACCAGAGAGCTCCCTGTCACTTTGAGCAGTTGCTTCCTGGTTATGGCGCGAGGAGGAGGGGGAGGAAGAGAGAGCATCTCTCGCAGACGAAGAGAAGCCGCAACGATGAAGCCAGCGTTGACGAAGGAGAAGAGAAACGTGTGGATGAAGCACTGGCTCAGGTGCGACCCCGTAATGATCCAGCTGCCGCTGACCTGCCCACAGAACTCCTGCATGCTCGAGAGCTGGCAAACAGCGTTAGCCTCGTCCACGGGTTCAGGTGGTACGGTACCTGAGCATCAGGAGCCGTGCCAGGGGCAACGAGTGCGGCTCTAGCACTTCCCCGCCGCCGCCGCTGATGCCCTTGACCTTGTTGTCATTGAAGGACTGAGGAGGAGGAGCTGGTCTGGAAGAGAGCGAGTGCGAGGGGCGGGTGCGGTGAAAGCCGAATCTCTCCTCGATGGCTCGCTTCACTGCGACCATGCGCCCTGGTCAGTTGTCGCTCGTCCCTCAGCTCTCTCACCTGCTTGGTCCCCATCGGAACCCCCCGAGGCAGACTGGTCTCGCCATCTCGAAGGCGGCAGGTCCGTCTGGATCGAACGACCAGACCCCCTGCCATGAAGGATCACCCTTAAGCTCGCCCCCTCCTCTCCCCCCTTCCCATTCCGCATCCCCTGGCCTCTGATATCTCACCCGTTCATCCTTCTTCACAAGGATTGGCCGCTCGGGAAAAATCCCCTTGCTGCAAGTGAGCAGTCAGTAAGGAAGCGACAAAACGCGCAAGAAATGCACACTAGCTTCCTTCCCTCGTTCGTGCACAGCTGTACCATTGTATGACATTGAATCGCTATCTTTCGGAACAATCTCTCTTCTCCTTCTCTCCTTCTCTCCTCGCTGCTCCTTACTGCTCCTCTGCCTCCTCCTCGAATCTTGTCATACCCTCAAACCTGCACGCATCCATATTCGCTTCAACCTATTCGAGTATGCTGCGCTCCTGCTCGCCTGCTCTCCTCCCCTCTCCCTCTCGTGCTGACCCGCCGCTTCGTCCATGACGCAGCACATTATTTGACCCCTACCCCTCCACTCCAATGTCAAGTGCACCCCTCCCTAGCCTCCCCCACCCACCCACCCTTGACCCTGGTTTCTTTCCTCGATAGTACCCCTGCGGTTCGAATCCAAGTTTCGAGCCGCTCGGAGCCGACTCAGTGCTCGCCGGCCCCGGGCGGGACTCCCGAGTCCCGAGCCTCGGAGTCCAGCAGGCCGCCCGGCAGGCCATCATCTGTTTGTGGTATAATCGTGCTGTTTAAAGTATCATTCGTGTTATCACTGAGCAGAGGAGGAGGCACATGAGACATAGACTGTATGCTGGGACCGTGAAACCCAAGCATCCAGACTTGAGAGGACCTCAGCAAGACGGCTAGTTGAAGGCCTCCTTTTAGGAGAGTTTTGTTAACTCGGCGCTATCTGACTGGCACGGCTGGCATGCGATCCATCAGTTTCAAGGTTTCTTACTGACATGATGCCTCGGCGCCAGCACGGTGACTCATTTTGACGCCACCTCAGGGAACTTTGTCGAGCCTCCTACAACTACAAAACCTGCCCAGCTTCTCGCTGACTTCTTCTCTGGAGCGCGTGACTTCACCCTCCCTCTGTCTGCCCCCCTGTCGACCATGTCCAACCTTGCCAGGCTGAGCATCGCTATCCTGAGGGCCTGTGCCAGATCCTGCCCTTCCTCCAGGCTCATGTACATGCGATCCATGAGCTCCTTGGTGCTCGAGTCCCCGATGCTCCACAGAGACACCAGGGTGGCCGAGGCCCCCGCAGCAAGAAACCCTCGCGCGATTCCGATCACTCCCTCGCCCTTCACCGAGCCTCTCCCCGTGTTGCACGCGCTGAGGACGACGCTGGAGCCTGCCGCAAGCCCGAGGCTCGCCGACTGAATCTCCTCCATGCTCAAGTCCTCATGTCGCTCGTCCCTCGAGCTCACCACCAGCGAGTTCTTCTCCAGCTTGCCATGGCAGGCCAGGTGGACCCAGTGGCTCCCCCGCATCGCCTCGACAACAGCGCTCTTGTTCGCCTCCTCCCCGGTCACCACCACGACCTCCTGAAACCGCTCCTTGTCCCCGCACCTCGCCTGCAGCTCCCGAGCCTCTTCCAGGGCGAAGGGGAGCGGGCCAACGGAGTTGGGGTGCGGGTCGCCGACTATGCAGATCCTCTTGGGGCCGTCGGAGGAGGCCAGGAGCCCTCGACTCTTCATGCGGGCTGTCTTCAAGGAAGGGGCGACGCGGAGGGTGAAGGACTGGACGAGGTAGTTCTGCTGTTGGTCCAGCAGCGCCGCCCAGGGGACGAAGAACAGCTCCTTATGAGGCAGAAGGAGAATCTCAGTCCTTCCATGCAGAGATGAGCTAAGGGGAGCGACAAGGACGTCGTAGAGCTCCCGGAGGATGCTGTCTTCATCGAAGAGCTCCTTCACCTGCGAGCAGAAGCTATCCATCCAACCCCCCTCCGGCAGGGAGGTGATGTCCTTGAGCCTCCTCTTGCTGATCTTGCTGAGGTCTAGCCACGTCTTCACCGCCTCTGCCATCTTCGTCGTGACCGCGGCATGCTCTTCTTCGCTGCATTGCACGTGGGATCGGATCCACGATTGCAGCCCCTCAGTCTCTAGCAGACGAGCCTTGACGTCGACCACGTCGCCGCTCTTGACAATCGCGTCTTCCATGCCTGCTAGCTGATTCCGCACCTGCGCAGGATCCTCGATCTGTGAGAGCGTGGTCATCAGAAAGCATAGACATCAACTAGACCGAACACACCTCCTCCTCTCTAGGGCGTTGACGAAGCAGCAGCATCTCCTGCATGAACATCTTCTCATCTTCATCTTCAGGCTGAGAACAGCTGCCTGCATTATTCATGCTGTCCCTCCCTTCTACCCCGAGGGACACCCTAGCAATGTCAAGAAGAGTTCTCATGTCCATCCTCTTCAACTTGTACTTGTCTGCCAGTGCGTTCGTGTTCCACCTATGAGCACACACCAACTCTCCCTCGGGAGAGACGCTCCAGGCACAGATCTCTCCGTCATGGCCGCAGTAATATTCCATCACAGCGATCCCCTCCTCCCTCACCATCTGCTGGTACTCCTCCCACAGGGACCTGAGAACGAGCGTTTCATCTTCTTCGTCCTCGTTCAGGGCATGAAGCTGAGTTGCTGCAGTCAAACGTTCCATCTCCTTGGCTTCAAGGATGGCCGTCAGCGATCTAGCCTTGCCGTAGGAAGCGACGGCAAGCGCCTCCTCCTGCCGAGATTGGAGGATAAGAGCGGTCTGCAAGAGCGAGTAGCTCCTTTCTAGGGATTCAAAGAGAGACACCCTCAACGAGTCTCGATCTCCCAGGTCCTTCTCCACCAGCTCCGATCGCAGTATCCCCCTCAGGAGGGCTCTAGTCGCGCCCTTGTAGTCCTTGAGATGGATCATCTCGTGCCCGATGGATCCGTTCAGTTTGCTCTCCTCACTGACATCTTGCAGCTCGATCGCGATGCCGAGAGCCTCTGTGAACATCTTCATCGCTTCATCATGTCTCCCCAACGACGAGTAAGCCTCTCCTAAGTTGCGATACACACCCATCTCGTTGTCCTTCATCGAGGCACTCTTGCACCTCTCCAGCTGCTGGTTCAGACTCGAAATCGCTTGCTCCGCCCGACCGCCGACTATGTCGCAGTAGGACAAGTCTAGGGCAGCGATCATTTCTCCTTCCAAGTTGTCTACTTCTTTCGACATCTCAAGAAACTTAGTGAACATGTCGACTGCAGATTCACGACCTCCAAACAAAAAGGCGATCTTACCCAGGTTTCCATGCGTCATCCCTTCAGATCGTTTGTCGCCTATTCTCTGACACATGTCTAGGCATTTCTTATGCATCTGCCATGATTTCGCATACTCTCCAAGAGACAAGTAGTCAGTCCCAAGATTGCTGTAGGCAGTACACTCCTCGTTCACGAGCCCAAGTTCGCTGGATATTTTCAGGCAAGCTTCATGCATTTCCACAGCCTTACCGTACTGACCAACAGAATTGTACGCGCTGCCCAAGTTGGAGTATGCAGAGGATTGCAATGCAAGGTTTCCAAGAGCTTTTGACATCTCCAAGTATCGATGTTCAAGCTCTATCGCCTTCATGTTCTTTCCCATCCCGGAGTATGTTAGTCCCAGGTTGCCATAAGCCACTGCTTCGACCGTTGCGTCTCCCAGACTCTTGGCAAGCTCGATCTGCTTTTCGAACATCACCACCGCCTCATCAAATTGACCAAGATACATCGAGATCGTCGCAAGGTTTCCATACGTCTTAGCCAGAACTGTCTCGTCCTGCAGGACAAGCCCGAGTTCCAGAGTCTTCTCCAGCTGGGGCCTTGCTTCAAGGGACCTTCCCTGAGCGAGGAGGAGCGCACCAATGTTACCTCGAGCCTTGCATTCACCCGCGACATCCTCTGACTCCACTGAGAGCTTGAGAGACCTTTCGTGATGCTCCAACGCTCGTTCATACTCGCCGATCGCTCGATATGAGATCCCCAGGTTTGCAAGGCAATTTGCTTCTGCCTCCTTGGACCCCAGCACCCTCGCGCATTCTGCTGCCTTCTCGAAGTACTTGATAGCTTCAGGAAAATTGCAGAGGTCGGAGTATGCATTGCCGAGGTTACCGCAGGCGGTGTAGACGCTGAAGGAATCCTTCATGCCCTCGGACACATTAAGATGTCTCTCAAACAAAGTGATCGCCTCCTCAACCAGCCCCAGGTTCTGGAATGCCAACCCTAGATTACCAAGAATTCCTGCAGTCAAGGACGGTCTGACTTGTGCATACTTGTCAGCAAGAGACAGGAGCTTCTCCTTCTGGGATGCCATGGTCTGGTGATCCTGCGACTGGATCATGGTTTGTAGAGAAGCGATCAGTGCATTGTCCTCCGCATCTATGCTAGAGGATGCGTTCTGCTTCCTGCTCGGAGCGGACATGACGATTGATTTGTCTAGTTACTGTGTTCCTGCCTGACTGCCTGACCGACTGTCTCCCAAGCTCCCTTCTCAAACTGTCCCTTCCTCCACTTCCCGCAAAGTCCGTAGGAAGGACTACCCCCTCACAATCATTTCATACCCCTACCAGTCATCAAACCGATTCCTTTACATGTACCGGTACAATCATGTTTCTTTGTACCGGTACTTGATGTAGTAGTCAGTTCATGACCCCTCAGTAAAACACCGTACCCCTGACTCCTCTGGTGCTCGTTTGGTGGAGAAGAAAGGGATCGCAGGCGAGCACAAGGAAAGTGGACGCGAGGAGGAGGGAGGAGGCGGAGGAGGTAGGGAGGAGGAGAGCAGGGAAGAAGGGAGGAGGAGGGAGGGAGGGAGCGTGGTAGGAAGAAATGTTTCAGGACGAAGGAGAGACAGTAGAAATTGTCAGAAAGAAGATCGCAGACTGGAAAGGGAAAGGAATTCCATGATTTAGAGGCAAATGGTGGAAGTTAGGTAAAGCATTGAACCAAGAATATAGGAGCGAAACGAACTGAAGGTAAGAGAACTGTCTCAGGAGGGTTCGAGAACAAACGAGCATTGATGGCGGAACCGAACCAAGACACAGGTTGGAAGAATCCATAGCGTGGATGTACTTGGAGCGGTTTTGTGACGCTTTCTGCAGAAGGTTGTAAGCATTACAGGAGGAGGTGTGAGATTAAATCTCCATGCTGCGGAAGGTAAAGAATGTCAAGGTCAAGTGTTTCGTTATAACGTGACATACAGGTTCTTTACCTGCCACAATTGCCATGATGAACAGATGGAAGTCACAGATGAATGCCGGTAGATTTGAGCTGTTCCCGCTCTCATGACTGACTGTACTCCGACAGTGTCGAGATGAAGGGATCAACAGGTCTCTGTCTCTGTCTCTGTCTCTGTCTCTGTCTCTCTGTCTCTGTCTCTGTCTCTGTCTCTGTCTCTGTCTCTGTCTCTGTCTCTGTCTCTGTCTCTGTCTCTCTCTCCTTCTCCCTGACCTGCTCTATCGGGGTATGCAGAGGGGATGGGGCGGTACAATGTTACTGTCATACGATGTAAGGTCTGCAATCTAGAGCAGGACGTTGGTCCTGTCTGTGCAGGTCCTGCTCTCGAGGACTTTGCCTTGCTCACTTGACTTGCATCATGCACGAGAAGGTTGTGGAGTAGAGTTTGCTGAGTACTTCTGTAAGATGTGCAAACTGTTTTCGAAACCTACAAATCAGGTTGATCAATCCTCCTGTCTGCGCTTGTTTGGATATCCTGACTACATCCTTTCGACCCAGGGTATATACCATTGCAACGGTTGTGGAATCTGCAGGTCGAGGCATGCAGGAACCCTTGTCTTGTCTTGTGACGCGGAAACAGGGTTGGTCAAGGCATCGGGATATCTCATTTTCACTGCGATACTTGCAAAGCTTGTTACACGCTGGAATCCAGACAAGGGCACAAGTGTGTTGAGCGAGCACTCGACTCCGATTGCCCAGTCTGTATGCAATACTTGTTCACGTCTGCGAAGCCTCTCTTTGTTGGGCCACAATGTGGGCATGCGCTGCATCAAACTTGCTTCAAAGAGGTGACAGAAGTTAGGAATGCTTCTAACACCCTTTTCTTACAGCCTTGAAGTTGTTGCAGGCCGGAACCTTCAAATGCCCTACATGTAGCAAGCCGATGTTTGAAGAAAAAGTGATCAAGAAGATACAGAAGGTCAGTCTGATTCTCTAGCTTCATTCACACACACAATTACAATTACTGGTCTTGTTTGGTTCTCACTGAAGTGTGCTTTCTCCGTGGCAGAGAACCAAGATTTTCGACTATGCTCTGAAAGCCGCATCCATTGCTGTTGGAATGTATCTCGTCTGGAGATTCTTGGCTTCATGATTACATAAGGACTCCGTCCTTGCGTTCCCCATTCCGTCCACCACTCACAAACACACCTCGGACAGTGGCGCCGGCGATCTGATGATCGTTGTTGCCGTGAAAACGGATGGGCTGACCCTTGCTGTAGCTCATGCTATCTGAGACCACAGCTTGCCTCCCTCATCCCCGCGCGTTGTGCGTCTCCGGTTTGAAGGTGATGTTCTCAAGGTGCTGGTCTAGATGGTTCTAAGAAACCAAGATCATTCGCTCCTCGTTGCGGAGATGAGTCTACCTGAAGCCACTCCACTGTGTCTTGCTCCCTCCCGCCCTTGTCGGTGAAGGTTGGATTCACAAAGATCTTATTTTCATCCGCCTGGCAAAGACGGTCACTGGGATGATTGCTTCTTCAAACACATACCTGCATATCGAATACTACGATCGCGTTGTCATACCTGTCGGCAGAAAAATGAAGTTCAGAGCGAGAACCATTGCAAAAGGTGTGGGAAGACGAGAAAGATGAGAGAGGAAACAAACGGACGTAGCAAGGTTCACAGAGAGAAGGCTTCACTTGTTATCGAGATCCATGATGTATTGCTTGACTGGAGCATCAACGTGTAGCACAAGGCCTTTTGTGACATGACACTTGACCTGAGAACATAAGTTAAAGCAGAGTGCATTCGTATGCAGAAGCAAGATCGACACAAAGCGAGAATAAAGAGGAGAAACTGGGGGAAGAGGTAAGCAACCACTACGAGGTAAGCCGCAAGAGTGGGTAGTTGGCTGGTGGAGGCGATAGGCAGCGGTAGGGATGAGCAGGAGGGACATGAGGAACATCAGGAGAAGGAGGCGAAGAAAGAGCGGGAGCGGGAGCAAGTGCAGGAACAGCGTCGCACCATGGATTTCACGCTTTGCTCAGCTTGGACTATTCGGGTATTAGACTACCTACCCCCTTGGTTTACCACCCCCACTCGATCTTATGATCACCCTAGAAAAAGCCACTACCACATCGACCTCATACTACCCCACCTTGGATATCAAACTACCCCCTCACAACAAATTTGCCCGATATATACCACATATTTTTCCAGCGTTTGACACTGTATTATATATATATTCAATTATTGACTCGATTTTAAAATATTGAGATCATAGATTTTGAATTTATGTAGCAAATCAGAGTTAACTTGACCCTTGCCGAAAACCCGTTCCTCACAGCAATCATCCGGCATGAAGTTCATGCTTGTCCTGCCTCGGCCCTTGCCCCTGCCCCTGCTCCGTCTCTTCCTCCTCCTCTCTCACCACCACACTCCCGCTTTTCCTTAACTCCTTCTTGCTCGTCTGCTCCCATGGTCCTTCTCACTTTGTCTCTTGCCACTTAACGGTTCATCTCTCTGCCCCATAACGTTAAATCCTTTGTCAGCTTCATCCGATCATGTTTGAAGCTTTAATTCTACTATTCCATTATGATTTCCCACTGACCTGATCGTTTTGTTTTTGCTCCTGACTGTGCCTAGATCAGATTTTCCTTGGAGTACCTGGCGAAGAAGTTGAGACTGGTCAAACTCATGTAGTCTCGGCAGAGCTGAATACGTCCACCGTTGATCTGTTGGCAAAGTGAGAGATGCCTCTGAACGAGATGCGTTGGAAGGTAGCATGCTTGTTCTTGATGGCAGCAGCGACATGCCATGCTGGACAAGTTGTAGATGTCGATGGCGGTTCGACAGTGTTCATGATGAACACAACCAATCCGTTTCATCCGTCGAAGAGCTTGTCCTTTGCTCATGTTCTCTTCGTTGGGTTTGATCTCACCTACGCGGATACTGCTGGTCTCCGTGGATACATAGCTCAGGACATCGCGCAACTTGGCAGGTACTATGCCAAGACCAAGTTCGGCTGCATCACGCAGTGCGACTCGCAAGACTTCAATGGAATCGATGGCATTCTGGGTTTGGGGATGCCGGATGCAGGTGAGGAGCGCGCTGATCGGAGGGTTTGTTCTTGACAGGAGCTCGCAGCCTTGGCATCCATCCCTGAGCCTCTCTTCTTCGCCATCAGTGACGAGACGGGGGATCCAGCCAACCAGTACATCTTGAATCGCAGGATCTTCACGCTCGTGAGCACAGACGAGGCGGCTGAGCTCCACCTGGGAGGTTACGACCCGCATGCTGTCACTGAAGATATGAAGTACTTTCGGACGACCTCGCAAGCGGAGTACAGCGTTCCTGTCTCCTCGATTTCGATGGGTGGCCATGAGTTCTTGAACTTTGCGTCAGCAGCACAAGCTAAGGGAAGGACGAGCATTCCAGGTGTACTTCGGAGGGATAGGAGGGTAGGAAGGGGCTGATCCGGGAGTTCGCAGGCATTCTAGACTCTGGGACGTCTTGTCTTGTTGTTCCTGACAGCACCTTGGATGGTGAGGGAGAGGGCGACAAAGACGATGAAAGATGACATGTTCCAGGTCTATTTCTGGAGTCGCCGTACCAAAGGTTCATGAACTACATGCAGCGGGGGCTTTCGATCTACATCACAGTAGCAGATCATCAGGTTTGCCGTGTCAGCGGTGCATGGCAGGGGGTGACAGTCTTGTTTGAAGTTTGAGATTCCTTTCCATCATTGGTGGTTATACCCGAACAACAGCCCTTGCATCCAGAGTACACCGGGTGGATTTGAGGTGATTGAGGAGGAGAAGGGCATAGGAGAGGGGAGGAGGGAGGGTGGGAGGGAGGGAGGGAGGGAGGGAGGGAGGGAGGGAGGGAGGGAGGGAGGGAGGGAGTAGAGACTGACGTGTCGGATGACAGGGAGTTCTGCTCGGGGATGCTCTCTTCCGCAGTCTCGTCGTACTGTTCGATCTCACGCATCCTCTCACGGTACGCCTGTCGATGTCTTGACCGGGAGATGACGTGATCATAAGCCCGTCATTGGCCTTGCTCCAAGAAATCCAGATTACAACCTCGTTGACGCGCAGGTTGATCATTTGTTTTCATGGAGGGACGTTGAACGTTGACCGGCGTGCAGTGCTCGCATGTGAACGACTTCAAAGGTTGTGTGGCGGAAAGCCATCCACGACGCTTCTCCAAGATGGTGAGCCAAGTCCTTCACCTGCTGCAGTCCTTCTGTCTCCCCCTGACGATATGGATGCCCAGAGGTTGGCAAAGAAGAGGGGAAGGGGTCAAGGATCTCCGTACTTGCGCAAGGCTACCAAGCAGCTTGCATGGTCTGTGCCCTTGCTAGAGATGTTTCCTACTGTGCTCAAGGAGGAGCAGGCTGCAGAAGAAAGCCATGTCCAAGGTGAACAAGGATCTCGGCATGCCAGGTGAGCCCGAGGGCTTCTCAAGCACCTTATGCAATGACATCGAGCCCTGCAGACCTCTCACCCTCGGGAGGGGACAAGCTCTTGACCAAGGCATCTCCTCCTCCTGTCATGATGTGTTGCTGATTCTCCTCGCAGGTCCCTGTGGACTTCTACGAGCAGACTCAGTTCTTCGTCAACGTCTCTTTGGGAACTCCCCGGCAGGTCCTATCACCCTCTCTCCTCTCTCTCAGGGGCCTTACAGTTGTCTACAGACTCGAACTGTCATCCTTGACACGGGCAGCAGTGTCTTCGGTGTCTTCTGCGACCCTCCTCCCAAGCGAGGAGAGGCAACGAATAGCCACATCTACCTCCCTCACTTCATCCCCGCCAGCTTCCTACAGACAGGTATGTGACGAGCTGTAAAGGGAGGGAGTGACGGTTAGCAGGTGTGTCGGTCTCGAGGAAAGTTTCTCCTGAGCACGAGGAGGGAGTTGAGAGCTTGACCGCTGTTGTTGCTCTCCTTGTCATTGCCAATGTCGTCATGTTTATGTTGAGAACGTCCCGAAGGTGAGTGGATGGCTGATCGACAGTCTGCCAATCATGGCTAATCTTGAGCAGGCGAGAGCAAGACTCAGTCACTCCACGGGGATTCGAAGAAGCATGAGAAGGCCGGGCGATGTTCTGTTCCCTGTAGATATCAGACTGCCTTGCATCATTCCAGTTTCACATTCAGAGTTTGTAATTTTTCCAGAGCAAGATAATGTACATACGCAAGGACTTAACATGTGATTGGGGATGAAATTCAACAATCACCCTCTCTCATCCATGACCTCTCATGGCTCATTGTTGCCAAGTTTCTCGATGATCGCCCGCTGCTCCTTGTCCACCTTCTGCAAAGAGGCGAGCCTGGAAATGCTGACGTCAGTGGAGGGAGGGGAGGGAGGGCGGGCCCTACTGTTGCTGCAGCCTCTCCAGCTGCGCTCTCTTCTCGTTGATCTGAGACTGAAGCTCTGCTGCTCTGATCTTGCGCGACTGAGAAAGGAGGTCATCGAGGGAAGCATGTCCCTTGAGAATGCAAAGGTCCTCCTCCCCTTACCTCCTTCTCGCTCTCAACCCTGTTGCGCTGGCCAAGGGCCTTCAACTTCGCACTTTCGATTCTCGATGCATGGCGATTCATTCCCTCAACCAGCTTCTGGACCGTGTCTTGGAATTGTCCCATCTCTGAATCACAAATCAGACACCATATATTCCATCCATGCAATCGAACAAAAAAAAACATAAGGCGGGGTGCTGGAAGGGATTGTGTATATGATGTCTGCATTCTTGATGATTGAGTTGTTGATGATGATTGGGTTGTTGATGATGCTTGAGTAGAATGGATGTCGACTCCATTTCGACCATGTTGCGGATGTGTTTCACAGCTATGGTGAAGACCATGAAGAGGAAGTGGAGGACATCAAGAAGAACTTACTGGACGTGAAGGAGGTAGCTTCTTCTGCCAGTCTCTCAGTGTCCTTGTACTTCTCCTCCTCCAGCACCCGCAGCCTGAACGTGCCATCGAAGAAAACCTCCGCCATCTCCAACGCCTCAGCTGTACCACCCTACCCACATCACTGAATACTTCAAACCCAACAATACCACCCCTGATATTATGACCCCACCGTGCTTTTCCGAAAACAACCGTGTCGAAATGGGGGTACATTTGATACAAAAGTGGATCCAAGGGGGTACTCTCATGTGTTGGGCTCAGACAAGGGGTAGGTTGTTTGAATGAATAAATCCCAACCCAGGTAATGTAGAATACAAGAAAATCAATTAGCTCCAACTTGACAAGGAACCTCAACTTGCGGTAATAATAAGGGTTTGCGGTTTGACAGAATGCGGGTGCCGAAACGGTGAGTGAGCATGAGGGAGAGGGAGAGGGAGAGGGAGGGGGGGAGAGAGGGAGAGACAGAGACAGAGACAGAGACAGAGACAGAGAGACAGAGAGAGCCAGACCCTCGGAGAGAGAGAGGAAGAAGGGAGGGGAGGGAGGGAGGAAGGAGGGCAGAAGGAGTTCGGAGATAGAAAAGACGACTCGGATGACAGGAGAAGAACATTGGGATATATGAGGAGTGTGCGGGATGGTGGTCAACAACGGTGTCTGAAGGCTGTACGCATGAGAGATAGAGGGTTCCAGGGTGTTCATGTTTGAGCCAAGTCCCGCAGAATCGCTGCTGCCGCCGTACATCATCAGCGGATCGCCAAGGCCAGGGCCGACCACGATGCAGAGGTGGTTTGTATTTCTTCTACCCAGAAAGACAGCTCATGATCGATGTTGCGGCAGGAGGGAGTACTGGAGCCCGAGTCACAACCCTTCCATGTCCTCATCTTCAAGAAGAACGACGAGGACGAGGATGGTGTGCCATGATGATTGAGATCGAAATGTCGTTCTGATTGCGTCCATTCTTCAGGTTTCCTAGACATGAGTCAAGTGAAGGTCCTCCTCTTGACTCTGCTGTCCCATCCTTCAAGACTGTGACTGTGGTTCAAGGTTGCTCTATCTGAACTGGCCCTGGACGACGAGCAGCAGAAGGTGGCCGAGATGAAGTTCTCAGAGCATGGTAACAGGCTCTCCTTCCTTGCAACTTTGTCTGAGGAAGATTGCCCATGATAGAAGAGGCGCTGGTCTCGCTCGAGACGTGGGAGAAAGTGTTGCTCGCCACCTTCTCCAACCTTGTCCTCGAGAACGATGCTGAAGAGCAAGAGCTGTTGAGAGAGAGGTTTGCAAGTGAGTCCGGACCTTGCGATCGTGCCTCTGAAGCACAAGCTATCTGACTTGTTCTTGTAGTTGCTGGAGGGTTTCTCATCAAGCCGGAGGACAAGATCGAAGACATTGCAGCCAAGTGAGGAGCAGGACAATCACTTTGGGTCTGAGGTATCCCTACAGGTTCCGCAAGCGCAAAGTCCGCGAGTTTTACCTATATCTGCTTTTCTGCATGTTCTTCACAGTGAGCACACTGCAGCAGGCAATGAGATGAAGACTCTGCCTTGCACGACTGAACCTTTCTTCTCCTCTTGTTGATTGTGAGACAGAGGCCAGTGGAGCAGATGTTTGACCTTTCCAAACAATCCTTGGACGGGGTATCCACAACACTGCCATGTGTTGTTCTTGCCATCACTAACTGCAATGGCCGCAGACTGTGTTTGGATGCTCGTTCCCAATGTGAGGAAGAGAAAGGGAGCTGGGGCAGGGGAAGGGGGACCAGGGGTTGGGGTGGGGGTGTGGGGGGTTTTGAGGAAGGGAGCTTCCGGAGTTTCACTCGCTCCCTTGAAACTGCAGCACTACGTACTTTAAGGGGTTCAATGACATTGGGGCCACCGAGGATTTCTGGGTATGGATGGGTGACGTTGCAGGTACCTGTTGTTGTTTCCTTTGTTATTTCACGATGCTGTTGGTGTTTGGTTGGAAATGCTTTTTCTCCTGCTGATTGATGACAAGTCAGCTATTGTCTCTTTCAAAGATTGCCTGCCATTTCGTTGCCTGACTCTTGTGAGTACAGTGCAGTACCTGTACACGTTCAATTGGTACAATGGATCGGAGTTCTTGCCAGATTTTCAGGTTTGATGTTGAGTGCAAGAGATAAGGAGTGGTAGAGAAGTGAGAGGTTGTAGTGACAAGTTCAACACGGCTGAAAGATGATGTTGGTGATGATTTATTGAGATGGAGATCATGATGATGATGATGATGACGATGATGACGATGGCAGGGAGAGACGTGAAGAGAAGAAAGAAGATGATGATTGCAATCACGATTGAAATGACCGAGCTGAAGATAATGTCTTGCAGGGGACGAAGTGGAGATACCTGTACGACAATGTCGTCATTCAGGTAATCCTTCCCTCTTCCACATCTCCTTCACCTTGTTGACTGTCTCTGTCGGCAGAAACCGCGATTGAGACAGATACGAGTCCTCCCTGTCGGTGACCATCGAATCCCTCCCCTTACACAACTCACTGTTCTCCCAGCTTGCTCAGTAATCAAAAGGTTCAACCCCAACCAAGACGGCTCTGACATCTGCTATCCCTCCTACACTTCCGGGTCCCTTTCTTCTGTCCGCAAGCACCACCCTTCCTCCTAACTATCAACGTCAGCGATGTAGACACTTCTCCTTGGTTTGGTGTGGAGCTGGACAGCGAGGTGCTGTGCTTGTTCGCAAGGAGTTGGGGGCTGATAATTGAGCAGGGGCAAGTGCGTGACACGGTCGTCGAATATCAGACAAGCCAGCAGGTTGTTGAGGGACGGAAAGATGAGAGGATCTGAAGCCAGAGCGATGCTGTCAGTTGAAGACTGCGAGTTACACTCCGCCAAAGATGAGCGGGAAGACGATCGCGTATGAACTTGTTGCCACTGCATGTGCTGCTGCTGCTCTCCTTGTCGTCCTTGAAGATTGTGAAAGGGGAGAGGAGGGGAAGGGAGAGGGGGAGGGAGAGGGGGAGGGACAGGGAGCTCAGAACTTTCATTGATTTTTGTCTGCAGCTACGAGGGAGGAGGGCACGTGATTGACTTTCCCCTCAACGCAACGAGTCAACAGTTTCAGGCCATGATGCAGGTCAGCCACGGCAGCAGGCGAGGGTTCGGCTTGTGACCCCCTCCGACAGAGACTGAAGGCGAGAGGATGGACAGACCGAAGGACGCGAGTTGTCTTCTTTGATCAGGTCATCTACAACGCAGAGGTTGATTGGTTGTCGCTGGCGACGCAAGGTGGCTGACTTGTGTCTAGTTGAACTCCTTCGTCTCCATCAGAGCAAGTTTTGAGTTCAACCCGTGGGGGTCTGTGTTGGTTGGGAGTGGAAAGAAAGAGTCGTGTTTGTAAACTGACACCCTCGATTGCAGCCTTTGATCAGAGCTCGAGTAATTCGATTAGGATTTGTTCGGTTCCAGTAAGCTGTGTGGAGAGTGTTGTTTTTGTTTTTGTTTTTGTTTTTGTTGTTGTTGTTGTTGTTGTTGTTGTTGTTGTTGTTGTTGTTGTTGTTGTTGTTGTTGTTGTTGTTGTTGTTGTTGTCAGGTGGTGATCATGATCGTGCCAGTACGAGTCACGATGGAATTGAAGTTGTTGATGATCGAGGTGACGGTGATTTTCACAGTGATGTTGTCCTCCTCATTCTCGACATCGCTGTGTACACGTTTGTCATCGTCTCAGCTATCAGCACGCTCATCAAACTCTGGAAGTGAGTCAATGAGCAGAACTGTCATATTATCTGAGATGTTCTGATCGACATGGGAACAACAGATTGAGATGGAAATTCTTTCACTCCCTCTTGAATCAACTCGACATTGTCAACTACGTAATCAAACACACAGACCTGACACATGTTGTCTACTCTCCTGACCTCCAACCTGCAGTTCTTTTTCCTCATCACGGGATATTACAAGATCAATCTCTACATGTTATCGAAATCTCTCTCAGTCTTTTCCTAACTCTTTCACTCCTCAGGTCAACTTATTCCCTCCTGTCTGTTGCACCGAAACCTGAAGGTAAGTCCTCTATTATAAGTTGTTCTTCGGTGTTAACTCAGCCTTCAGATCCGCCGCGCGACTTCGAGAGCTTCGGATGGACTTATGCGCAAGTAGAGTTTTGTCTTGCTTGCGTCTAGAGTGTTCACTTGGATGTTGGCAGATAGGAAATTGGAATGGATTCAACAGTCTGATCACTTGGTGAGAAATTCGCGATGAATGCATGGAAGGATGCAGTGGTGGTGGCGATGATGATGGAGATGCTGCTGCTGCTGCTGCTTATGAGGATCGTGATTGTGATTATTATGGAGATGCTGATGATGGAGTTGTTGTTTGCTGCTGCTTATGAGGATCGTGATTGTGATTATGATGAAGATGCTGATGATGGAGCTGTTGTTGATGATATTACTCTGTATTGACGAAGAAGAATACGGCTGATCTTTGATTTTCCATGTCGTGCAGGTCAAAAGCCCTGGTCTACCTCGGTTTGCTCCATCATGTTAGTCTTTTCTTGGAACCTAGGGAGAGGACAGGAAGCGACCACAGCAAGAAGGATGGGGATGGGATGATAATGAGACACAGGGAGATGAACGAGGAAGGGGAGGCAGAGGAGGAACCGGTTCAAGGCTGAAAGTTCTAGAGGAAGGTGGTGGAGGAAGCGATAGAGGCAAGGGAGAGGATGTGGAGAGAGAGTGTGGGGAAAGAGAGAACAAGTGATAGGATGGGGGGAGCTAACTCAGGTCTGCTCCTAGTCCTTCAACATGCTTCTTCGGGTCATCTCGGAGAGCTCGAAGAATGTGTCCATCTTCTCTCTCATGTACGGCAAGAGACCAGAGGAGCAGCCGACGGGACTGACAGGCCCTCAGGTTCTTGATCGTCCTCTGGGCCTACGCGCAGGTGGGTGAGGGCAGGTGGGGCATGTCCTGTCTTAGCAGACGTTTGCAGACACTTTACGTTTGCTTCGGGACAGACATTGTGAGGTAAGAGCGGAGAGGAGGGAGGGGGAGGGGAGGAAACAAGAGGATAGGG